ATTTTCAGAACAACTTTAGGTTTTCTAATTAATATCATTCAACAACTAACCTGTGTTCAAATAACCAAACACGGCTGTTAATTGAGGCAATGAACTCATCTTCTCAAATCTGTTCATCATGAGGTTCAAATACTAGATTGGACACGAGGTTGAAATATATTTTCAAATAGTTCAGAAAGAAAGAATTCATACAAGGAACTTTGAGGGTGAAGCAAATGAAAATGATGCAGGGCAGTAGAAATAAGCTGCTGTCCAGCAACTAAACTGTGCCAAACCACGGTAAAAATGGAATCCATGCAATCAACAACACAGAGAATAGAGGGATAAAGCAATAGAATAAAAGTTGGAACGATGATAATAGAGTTGTAGACAGAGACCCAAGATAAACACTATATTCTGTAATTTCTTAATAAAGTTTATAAAAGACCCTTATTACAACTCTTAATGAGGCTTACACAGCCATCAAACCCTAACATAACAAGGGAAATTAAACCAAATCCTAATTGGAATAGGAAAACTATAATATCAAAATAACTAATAATATAAAGTAATTAGAACCCTAGCCTATTTGGCTAGCGGTCCCACTTAGACCTGGAAGGCATTAGATATTCCTGCATCAGAAAAGCATGTGATATATATAATATAGAACGCAGAAGCATGAAGGTCCAAAAGTCAGGATTTGTCAGAAGTAAAGTCATAAATATGGGTGTACTCTTGGAAAAGAAAGAAAGGATGAGTGGAGGGGTGGGACTCAGCTAAATATAAGCTATTTTAGTTTTGGAGGTTTAGTAGTTGTATTTTGTACAGTTCATGTAGGAAATCTTGATGACGGTCGTTTGACACTTACTGATGTCTTTCTTTATTAGTATCAATTTTTCCAAAAAGTAGTAAAACCCTATAAAAATAAGTTGAAATTTGAGTTCAAGAAGTATACATCTGAAAGTTGTGATAAGTAAATAGATGCTTTATCATATGAAATAGATTGATTCATGTGGTTGCAACATTTATAAGCCATGACATGCATATGTACAATTGCACCGGGGAATTTCTACTTTTTGTATGGATTGATTTTCAAATTTAACAACAGAGGTTATAATTAAGAGCTTTTAGGATATTGAAGTGACTACTCTGAGGTGGTTGGAGCTATCTATAACCAGGTCTTAGAGTTTTGATGTTTTTACTTATATGGGAATATGAAATATGGTGCACTTTTGATATCAGGCAAAACAAAATGAAAAATGATAAGAGATTTCTAAGGTTTATGTCAAAATATGATGCTGTGAGTTGATGTTGGTTGACTTTTATGTTTCACAATATCTAATATAAAAGTTTTGCACTGACAACAGGGTATTTTCAAGGAAGAAAAATACATTTGATGAACCATTGGTTGAAGATGCATTTATTTTGTCAACCTTTTCTAAACTGCACTTAGAGTTTTTGTTTTTGTTTTTTGTTGTTTGGGTGGGGGAGATAAACTGATTTGGGTTTATCAATCAGATTGGTTGAAATTAAGGTTCTCAAGATAGTTAGACTTGTGGATATGATAGCATCTTGTGAATGCTGTTCAGCTGACTGCTCCTTTAGATTTTCTGATCTTCAGCTCCAGCTTACCTAATTGTGATGCTAAATTGAATGGTGTTGCTTATTTAATTCCACCTGTTCTATAATGGTTGTCATTTATTTAATACTTGACTTGGCATTAATTATTTTTTCTTCCTTTCCCTTTGAAGACTTGAATCTTAAAAGTGGCGTAACCATACCAGCTGGAGCAGGACTGGTTGTGCCTATACAGCTGGTACAGATGGATGATTGCAGTTGGGGAAGTGATGCTAATGAATTTAATCCATATCGCTTTTTATCCAAGCCTGGAAAGGGATCTGATATTATGCTCAATAAATCAGTTTCAGGTTTCATTCCTACCTGTTTCCAATTTCAACTTCTTGCACTGACAACAGGGTATTTTCAAGGAAGAAAAATACATTTGATGAACCATTGGTTGAAGATGCATTTATTTTGTCAACCTTTTCTAAACTGCACTTAGAGTTTTTGTTTTTGTTTTTTGTTGTTTGGGTGGGGGAGATAAACTGATTTGGGTTTATCAATCAGATTGGTTGAAATTAAGGTTCTCAAGATAGTTAGACTTGTGGATATGATAGCATCTTGTGAATGCTGTTCAGCTGACTGCTCCTTTAGATTTTCTGATCTTCAGCTCCAGCTTACCTAATTGTGATGCTAAATTGAATGGTGTTGCTTATTTAATTCCACCTGTTCTATAATGGTTGTCATATATTTAATACTTGACTTGGCATTAATTATTTTTTCTTCCTTTCCCTTTGAAGACTTGAATCTTAAAAGTGGCGTAACCATACCAGCTGGAGCAGGACTGGTTGTGCCTATACAGCTGGTACAGATGGATGATTGCAGTTGGGGAAGTGATGCTAATGAATTTAATCCATATCGCTTTTTATCCAAGCCTGGAAAGGGATCTGATATTATGCTCAATAAATCAGTTTCAGGTTTCATTCCTACCTGTTTCCAATTTCAACTTCGTTTATATAGTTTTCAAGTTCCCTATAGTGCATTTTCTCTGAAAATGTGCAGTGCAGTTATAGCAGTATTAACTAATCATAAACTGTTGGTAATCACTCTGCCTTTTTCCATTTCTTTGTAAATCCTGCAGTAGTTTACGACTTTTAGTGCATTGTATCAAATGCCATTTCCAATCCCTTATGCCATCTTGAATTGCACAGGATGTACATTTTGTAAGAGAATAATAAAATGTTTGCTAAATATTCTTGTAAAGAAGCTGGTTTTTCCATTTGAGTTTAGTTCTCGCTTGGTTTTAAATTGACACTTCCCTGTCCAAAATGCATGATAGGGAGTTCGAATTTGTATAGTAAGTTAATAACCCCGGAAATTAGTTTAAGATAGTATCACACCATCAAGGTTCACATGCTCCGTCTGTAACAAAGTTTGGTTTATAACGGTTCTCAGGAGCTGCTGAAAACATTGTGAATCCTGGACAGAGCTCCTTCAGTTTAAATGATCCAAATGCAAATACGGCCTTTCTTCCCTTTGGCTATGGCTTACGTGCTTGTATTGGCAAGAAATTTGTACTCAATGGAGTGGCTACATTATTCGCATCATTGCTTGAACACTATGAGGTTTGTGTGCTACTTAGTTTTTTTGTTTTTGTTTTCTTTTCTTGGCTATACGATTACATTGTTTGAAATATCTCTGGCTTTCTGTCTCCGTCTTTCTCTTTAACTTTCATCATAAACAATCATTGTTTTTGAAACTTTCTATGAAACATAAATTTCTACTTTCAATGTTAACTTTGGCATGATGAACTTAGATTTGGTTATATTAAATTCCTGTGTCTTTGCACTGATTTTGAACACACAACGTCCAATGATAATTTATTTTATGGAATCCTGCACTATGCATAGGGCAATGTAATATCTGAAAATACAGAATCTCTATATCTTCACTTAATCCCAAAGCTGAGTTCTTGAGGTTGTTGGCTTTGCATTTTACCTCTCCATTGAGTGAGGCCTAATACAGATCTGAGTTCAGAGATCTTTATATCTTTATTAATCATTGTTACATTTTTATAAACAAAAAAAGAAAAAGAAAAAGAAAGATATAATACAGTTAAATTTCATTGAGTACTACTAGATAATTAAGGAGTACCAGTATCTGTCAACAACACGTACTGTACTCATCCTGAATGATAAAATCCTATCTTGCGCCTAAGAATTTCCCATTGAATTGGTTTAAATAGAAAACAGTTGATTAAATAAAAGTATGCTTAAGTTCCATCTACTCCCACTAAATGCAAATACAATCCTAGGGTTGTGATCAATCTATACCCTAGGAGAGAAAGGGTAAACCCGCCGATCTAAGGGCTTGAATTTAGTGGAAATTTTGATTTTAGTGGACTGTGGACCCAGATACTTGCCATTAATGTTAAACATTGGCATAAGTTCCAGTGTACATTTGAATGGGACCAACGTGCTCATATCTGGGAGGGAGGGATTTTGTAATCTGTGAATCCTTGCTGAGGAATGTTCGTATTAAATTGATTCATTACAAATTGTCAGATCATTTGTTAGTGGGTTTCTGCAGAAATTAGTTTCTTCTTGTTTGTTAGGTTGTGAATCATACTCCATTTTATGATTTCATTGAAAATGCTGCACTATTACTTTTAAGTCTTGTTTTTGACGACAACATTAGTAAGCCCTCCTGTATTACAATTTGGTACCAACTGACCCAACCAACTGGATTTTCTATCTGGGAGGCACACCACGTGATGGATTTGTGCCGCCCTACGAATTAACTAATTGCTTAACTACATGTTGGCTTTGGTTAAATTGAAAACAAGAAGCTCCTGCATGCTTAAAGTGGATATGAAACAAAAATTTATCCAACAAGAGAAGGAATTGTGATGTTAACTTATGAAACTTAAAAACAAAAACTTTTGAAGTTCAGTTACTTATTTCTTGCCATTATTTATTTGTTTGTCCTTAGATGTGTATTTCATTGACCAAGAAACGGTATATATATATATTTACATATCTTGCAAGTCTAATGTTTAAATGTTACTATATTACAGATAAAGCTCCAGGGAGCAGCTGAGGATAACCCAAAACCGAACAACTGTGTGTTTGAGCATATTTCTAGTTCACAGATGGTTTTTGTAAAAAGGAACAGCTGAAAGAATGTGGAAGCAGAAAAGTCTGTTGTGGATGCGATGTTTTGTTTTACTGTCATATGTTTTTGCATCCCATGATCACTTACAGGAAGACATCTCCAGTCATCTTTTTCCCCAACTCGGGTTTGACGAGGGAATATTTTTTCTGTTGATTATCTATTAGAGTAATAGCAGAGGATGTTACACGAGTGAGTTTTACGGCTCATGTTTTTTTCCTCTGTTTTGAAGCCTAGGTGCTGGTTTTATAGCCATGACAGGCATAAGATAGTTTTTGAAGCACTCGGGCTATTGTTGAAGCGGAGCCTTGTGGTTTTCCCCATCTAGAATTTGCAACTTCATCTTTTATTTTTCCTCTCCCAAAAGGAAGTTCATCTTGTAATCTTAATTAGCTTAGAGTGATGCACCCCATATGTATTTTATATTTGTAGGGTGCATTGTTAATAGAAGTTATGTAATAAATAAAAATTGCCTTCCACTGGTTGTTTATGGTACTCTGGGTTGTTTTGAGATTTGGTTAAACTTGAGTGAAACGATAAGTTTCAGGTAGAGTTTAGCCAGCTTGCTTGTGGTGATTGTTCACAGGTGGGTTATTTTTCCGTTACAATGTTCTAGCATTTTTCAGCTCCATTCTATGAATGAACTCCATGGAGGGGAGCAGATATGGGAGATTAATGTACTAGAAAAATTATTAGGGGTGGGCACGGTTCGATTTGGCTCGGTTTTAAATTCAAACTGAAACTGAAATTGGTACTGTTAATTTGGTTCGATCTGGTCTAATTTTCATACAAAACTGATATTAGAAGTGAACCAAAATAGGTTACAGTTAGGTTCGGTTCATGGTTCTCCACGATGTGGGCTTGCTGTAAAGCCCATATAAGTTTTTTGGGTTTTAAGCATCAAAACAACATGAATTTTTAAACTGTTGGACTTACATCACAATTGGCCCAATTTTGATATTGAATACAATTCCCAAATGATTCTCATAATGAAAATGAAACCAAATACTGAAACTTTTAACAAAACACACACATAAAAAGCAAAATAAATTACAACAACGTTTAAAATTATAGCTCCATTATGTCATCCATTATCAAGTTGCCAAAAATCTGAGCAGCTAATCTCATGTCACAAGGTTTACCAAGCTTTGCTCTAATTGGATGAACTGCATTCATTCAAACAAAACCTTAAGGCCTTGTTTGGTTCACGGAACGAATTTGAGGGGAAATCATTTCCAAAGAGATGGGAAATGGAAGATTCCTTCCTACGTTTGGTAATGCTGGGAAAGTAACCGGGAGATATCATTTTATTTCCTTTCCCATGTTTGTTTTGAGTAGGAATGGAAAACAAAGTTTGTATAAATTTTCAATTATACCCATATTAAATCAAATAAAAAAAGAATGCATTTAATGATATATTGTAATTCTAAACTGTTAATGGGGACAAAATAGTCATGAAAAATATTTATTTAATATTGGCTCATTTTCCCAAACTTTCTCATGAGGAGGGAAAACAAAACTCAAGTTGGGAGGATGGTTTTACTTTCCTTCCTACTTTCCCATGGGCCAGGCAATGATTTCCCATGCCTGGACTTACCAAACACGGGAAAGCAATTGATTTTCCATCTCCAAGTCGCATTTCCCATGAACCAAACGGGGCCTAATTGAACAGAAAATTATTTTCTTGTTTTATAATACCATGGACTCCTTGGAAAGTAGCATTAGCTGAATTGTTTCTTGTGCATGGCCTCCTAAGATCTAGAAAATATAAACATAAAAACAAACCGGTTCAATGCAGTTTGGTTTTTAGAGGTGGAGAACCAGAACTGGAACTAGACACCATCAGTCCGATTTAGTTTTTTGTACTGGATTTGACTTTTTGATCAACAACATTTTTTCTTTTCAATTTTTCTTAGTCCGATTTGGTTCGGTTATCCTATTCTTCGGTCTATATGCCCATCCCTAGAAATTATACAGTGGTACTATTGCATCAATTTAGCTGCACCAAAATGGATTCAGTTGCATCTTCAACTTGTGATACTCGCAAGTGCATGAGCCGTTGGTAGTTTAGCATATGTAAGTGCGATGTCGATTCCACAGGAATTGGTGATTGAATGATCGAATTCAATTTCCCTACACAACATAGAAAACAAGAAAGAAAAGAACAGAAAATAAGAAAGAAAGGAAAAAAAAAAAAAAACTTACTCAAGAAAATTAGTTACCAAGTTCAATTTAGATTCACGGATTGATTCTAGCTAAAGTATGATTAAGCCATGGTGTCTGGTCCTAACCTTGTATTCCTAATTCTCTAATTTGATCATCTGTTGTCTAACCTTAAATTAAGCATTAGGAATCCATTAAGCATAGAAGAATGTTTTAAACAACCAAGCATGTATATAATCCCTATTGTCAAATGTCCATACATACTCTTCCTATTCATAGTTCAATTAGAATTAAAGCATGGTGTCTACTTTTAATTCAAACCAAGATAGCTAACATACAAGTTTTAATGGTGATCAATTATTCATACAAGCATATTAACTTATAAGCATAATGAATAAGAACAAGAATCCGTAATTGAAACTTGGAAACTTATCAAACTTGAAAACTTAATAAAAGAATCTACATTACAATGAAAAATAAATTACAACTAAGAAGCAAAAGGGTTTTGTACAACAATTGAGAACATTAAAGAAAAACTTAGAGAATTTGAGAAAGAGAAGGGAGAAGTGTTTGAGAACTTTAGAGAATTTGATGAAGGGAATGGAGAGGTGTTAGAGAACTTTAGAGAATTTGAAGAAGATAAGAAAAAGGTGTTTGAGAACATGGAGAATTTGAGGAGAGAAGAAAGGTGCTTGAGAACTTTGGAGAAGAGAAGAAGGGAGAGGAGCTCTAGAGAGGTGTTTGAGAGCTCCCCCCTTTGGAGTGTGTTTGAAGACTTGGGAAACCTCACTATTTATAGGCGGAAGGGAAGTAAAAATCTGAATTGAGTATTGATTCTACCTACAACATTCAATTCACCAACTTTACCTAACTCACAACTCTCAATTCACCAACTTTACCTAAACCAAAAATAATTAGCTCATGCATATGTCATGCATGACAATGCATTGCAGTCTTCTTGTGGGCTCATTTTGGGCTTGTTCCTCCATTCTGAAAAATCTGGAAAAATATGGATCTTGAAGCTCTTTGTCTTATCTTTCCAACCATATGCAACTCAGCTCAAGGAAAAATCGGAAAGGCCTTCAAATGTCATTTTTGTCTCAGTAACGCAGATGCTGCTGAATTTGACCTTAAGTTGCCAAAACTTGCATAACTTCCTCTAGAAGACTTGGAATCATGAACTGTAAATGCTGCAGAAACTAGAAGACTTGGAATCATGAACCGTAAAATGCTGCAGAAGACTCGGAAGATTCGGAATCATGAACCGTAAAATGCTGCTGAATTTGACCTTAAGCTGCCAAAATTTGACCTTATTTGGTTCTTCCTGAGCACGTACATTCCAATCCGTGAAGTTGACTGATCTGCAGACATAGTTTTGAGCTAACTTGACTCCAAAATGCATTAAATGAGCACCAAAGCTTAATACACTGAAACAAACACAAAAGAGATTAAAAGCACAAGTTTAACTAAAAAACATAACGAAATCAAAAGCTAGAAGGGTACAAAATGATATGTAATTATGCACCGATCAGGTACTGGAATACCACGTGGCACTTGCCAGGTATTAAGACACGTGGCATTATAAAGTCCATTACCACAATGACCAGCCTACTCGATCACTCTATTACCACAGTGACCAACCTACTCGATCACTTTTGCTAAAGTCCATAAAAATAAAAAGGGTGATTTTATTGGCACCCCAAAATTTGCTCTTTACACCCCATATTCTCTTTACACCCCACTGAATTTTAGTAAAATTTAAAATTACTCACTACACTCCATTTTTCTTCCTAAATTCCCCTCATGAACCCCATTGCTTAACTTACCTGTGTAAATCCCATCAAAATCGTTACCTTGTTTCAGTGGTAGTTCACCAAATTTGTTTCCATTTTTCAGTGGTAGTCCACCGAATTTTTTCCGTTTTTCAGTGGTAGTCTACTGAATTCGTTTCTTGTTTCAGTGATCATCTACCGAATTCGTTACAGAGTTTATACTTAATATTGTTTTTTAAATATGAAGAGGACTCGCAGAGGTATTACCGAGGTTTCATCATCTCGACCTGATAGATAGCGTCCCACAGCCTCAACGAGGAGACATAGAGCGATGAGGTTAGCCCCTCAAGAGGACCAGCCCCAGCATGGTCCCCCAGACCACTTTGAGGATACTACAGAGGTTGAAGATGTAGCTGCTACTCATGATTGTAATGTTGACGCACAGGTTGAAGATGTAGCTACTACTTATGATAGTAATGTTGAGGTAGATGCTGAGCCTACTGAGCCATCTCGAGTAGGTCCCATTGATCCATCTTTATTTACGAGTTTTAAAATTCACATAGCAGTTGCAATTTGAAATACCCTGGTAAGTCGTTTTACTATAACAATAGAAGACAGAATATAAGTCTAGTTCATGGTAATTAATCTAAATATATATAAATATATTGTATTTGACTAGGAACGTGAGCCCTTTAGGTGCATGTCGAAGACATCTACCCTTCGTGAGTGGAATTGGTGGGCTTATCCAAATAATGGTCCCGAACAGGCATAATGTCCTCTTGAATTCTTAACAGCGTAACAACCTCCAGCCAATAAGACACTCGTCAAGCTAAAAACATAGGAGTTCCCTCACTACGAAAGGTGTCCCATGGATGGACTAGTTCCTAAACTAAGTAAAGTTTCTCACTTGTTGGGATCCAAACCTCGCACGTATATGGGTCAGTCTCCTATCCTTGGCGCTGTTGACCTCTCTCCTGTCCAGGGCGACGAAAGGTAGGATGCCCCTGTTTGGCTTTTGTTCTCCAAACTTGGTATATTCAAAAGGTACATTCAGAGATCTGGATTATAGAAACTTATTAGGTGTTCTTATCGGAATGCATATAAGATTGTTGAATCTACCTTCGTTGAGCGGTGGCATCCCGAAACGAACATCTTTAACATGCCTTTTGGTGAGATGACCACATTGGATGATGTGTCATCTATTTTAGGGGCGTCACCTTGTTTTTGTTCCTTAAATTTGTGGTCGACAATAATTTATTGAAAAAATAAATATATTTCGGTTCGTTGCCACTGAATTGTAGGTACAAATTTCGTAATAAACCACCAAACATCGTTCCATGTTACTGTGGATCTCCATCGCATCTTAAGTTAACGGCCAGTTAAACACAACCGAAATAGGTGCAATGTTTCAGTGGCATCCTGCCTAATTTACCTATCGCATTTGGTACTGGTGTGATGAACACAACCAACGACCATCATGAAATCCTAAACTTGAAAAACGCCAAAAAATAAACTCATACGTCATTCGAAACCTCTCTAACCTTAGTCTCACCCTTCATGAATAAATACAAGATATTTTTTCACCAATATAAGTG